AGTCCTTACCATACATGGTCAAGGGACAACTTAAACATACCAAGGACGTAGTTACCGACCCCGAAGCGGGCGTCTCAATAACCATATCACCACCACAAGAAGATAAACACAAATCCAAACGCTTAGCGCACTCAAAATAAACGAACGAATGAGTCACTCCGGTATCAATAATAGCAACTAAAGGCACATTATTAATAAAGCATGTACCTTTAATCAACCGATCCGCATTAGTAGTGTCTGAACCTGCTAATGCAAATACTTTCCCATCTGTTGGAGCTTGTTTTGGTTTAGTGCACCTTGTACTAATATGACCAACTTCCCCACAGTTGTAACACTTCACCATATTCCTTCTACAATCGGTCGCAGCATGGCCCGTTCCTCCACAGTTAGCACACTTAATTACCGCATTCTTACACTCAAAATATTTGTGCCCTAAAGCACCACACTTGTAGCACTTAATGGGACCCGAACTTCCACCTCCGGACCTCTTAACAAAGCTTTCCCTATGCTTGCCTTTATCAGCAGGCGTCACATAAGGTCCACTCCTTACCGATTGCTTCCCTCTCTTCTCATTCAGACTCTTATAATGAGTAGAACGAGCTCTACTATCCTCTTCAAAAATTCTACAACATTCGGTCAAGTCCTAGAATCTTCTAATCCTCTGATAACCCACCGCTTGCTTGATCTCAGGACGCAAGCCGTTCTCATATTTAATACACTTAGAAAATTCCGCCGTCACCGCATCATAGTGAGGATGGAACTTCACTAACTCTGTGAACTTAGCCGTGTAATCTACCACAGACATATTGCCTTGTTTCAATTCCAGAAATTCCATTTCCTTCTTTCCCTTCACACTCTCAGGGTAATACTTTCTCAAAAATTCTGTGCGGAACAAATCCCAAGTTATTTCCTCATCGTCCACCTCAAGAACTTGTCTCATATCGATCCACCATCATCGTCTTCTTCCTGTAACATGTGAGATCCAAGTCTCACCTTGTTCCCTTCAGCACAATTCATAACTCTAAAGATCCTCTCGACCTCCTTCAACCAAATATGTGGACCGTCCGGATCAAACCTTCCTTTGAATATCGACGGCTGATTCTTTCTAAACTCATCATTGGCGTTCACATTCGGCGCACCCTACACCGCTCTAGCCATTGCCTCCAATGCCGCAGCCATAGCATTGTCATTACGACCAGCCATATTCTGATCATTCCCAAAAATAACAACATGGTTAAACAACCGTTCAACCAACAAAACAACGAGAGAGACACAACTGACTCAACACTGGCTCTGATACCACTTAATGTAACACCCCCTTTCTATACCCCCAAATAATACAAATAATCATTTAGGCACGTATTCAAAATTTCATCAGAGTATATTTATAACATGGCATAAAAGGGGCATATCACATTATACAATAAATCAACACATTCAACACCTGCTCATATATACAAATATGCAACATCGAGGTAAACACCCACATCACAACATTTAGAATAAAAGCGGAAACATCTAAACATTGTATAATCTCCAAAACATGTATTCATATACATAAACATCATTCAATTTGATTCACAACATCATCCATGTCTACAACACCAAATCATCAGCAGATACATACACATATGTATCACAAAAGAATCAAAATAATCCCTATCTACCCGGTGCTACATATCAGAGTCAACCGAACAAAAAGGATGAAGCCACGCTTCACAAAATACCTCCAGCAATCTAATCTGCAATGCCTCATAGAGCATTATAACACAACAGAAGGGTGAGAAACGATATCATAATAATTAATGCATATAAACATATATGTATACATATAACACCCAATAAACGTCTTTCGCGTTCTCACCGCAACCCATCTCACTACACCATACATCGCAATGTATACAACAACATCTATATACAAATAGAATACCAAGCATACACACTACGCATCATCAACGTTTATATCAATTCATAAACGCACACACATATACATATATATTCGCACATACATGTTCCTTCAAGCATTTCATTCATGCCAATCATCACCATTCACATCAATCCAAAATAAACATACACAACATGCTTATTTCATCGCTAATTCACATAAACATCTACATTCATGTTTATTTCACCATATATCACATAAAGATGACAACATGCAACTCATAGAGACCGACACACGACTCTATGCAGATGCAAATGCGTTACCGACTCATTTCAACAGGTTCGATTGAAGAACCAAATATAACCATCGCTCACACCCCACATGGGCACGCGAGGTCCACCCATTTCTCACACCCCACCTGGGCACACAATGTGATTGCTCACACCCCACCTGGGCACACAATCCGATTGCTTACACCTCACTTAGGCACACAATCGTCAGTAGATTCTACACGGAATCAACCAGCACAAGAATGTATACCATAATGCTTCACATGCAAAATGACTCCATACACTTCTTGAAATGCATACACATCTATAATGTTTTCATGAATCTTCACCTCATCTAATTCCATACAATTTTCATACATTTTTAGTTAATTCAAACAATGCACATATTTTGCCCAAATGGCCACAATTCATAATCTAGGATTCATGCCATACGGCTACCCACAACACATCACAAACCAGCATACAAGCTACTCATGCAAGACAAGGTCGATCGCAACTGATACCTCAAACGATACAGCATGAAACAAACAGGAAAAATCATCCTGCTGCATTCGCTACACGCTCGCCTAGCGAGCTACTAGCGAGCACTCGCTACATGCTCGCCTAGCAAACTGCTAGCGAGCAAAAACAGAAGCTACAGACTTTATTCGCTACCTCGTTCGCCACGGCGAACCTCCAGCGAGCCATTCGCTACCCCCTTCGCTGCCAGCGTAGAAGATAAAAACCATTATGTCCCAAGTCTGGGACCATTCGCCATGCACTCGCCTAGCGAACTGCTAGCGAGTGCTCGCGACCTGCTCGCCTAGCGAGCTGCTAGCGAGCGTCTGCGATCTGCACTTTTCCAAGCTGTTCAGAACTCAAACACCCGAAGAAATCGCCCGGTAAATCCCAACTTGCTTCCAGTAGCCTTAGCCTAACATATATCGACTAATCTACATCATCTAATCACGATTCTAACCGTTAAACAACGATTTCTATCGATTAATCCAACTTCGACCTAGAAATGGAGAGTGTAGAAAACTACCAAACAAATCCAATCTAGCACATACATGATCATATACATTATTAAGATGATAAAACTTCTCACCCTTACCTGATTAATCGCAAGCTAAGGTTGATCTTGATGATTCTAGGTTTTCCTCTTCTTTTCTCTTCTCTTTCCCTTCTCCTCTTTCCTTCTCTTGTTTTTTCTTCCTAATGTTTCTATCTTTCCCTTTTTCTCTCTTATCTCATATTCTATTTTCTTTCCTCTCCAATTCTTTCCAAACACCTACCAAATTAATTCTCACAAAATATTCCAACTTAACATTATTACTAATGCCCAAAATACCCTCCAACCTATTTTTACCCGATACTCTCAAAATCGGCAAAAATAACACAATATGCAAACATAACATATTTTCACATAATTTCCACATCAAAAATAATAATCATCCAATTAAATCAAAAAGGACTCAATTAAAATGGGAATTCAGAGTCGGGGCGTTACACATGATGCCTTAAAATATTAGGATAATATGTAATATTCAACTCATTTGCAATAGCATTTTAAAGCTCAATGTAATGATAGCCGAACCTTCTCATAAACCAACAATATTTGCAATGGTAAACGTAAAAAAAATGAGATTCATTTGAAAGAAAAAACAGATATTTCAACTTTAAAACACTCTAATGTAGGACAACACACTCGATTTCCTTGTTGGAATGATTTAAATTGTAGTTTTTTCTCCGAATGCTTTTCTTCACTCTCACACACACACTCTCTCTACTCCTAATCTCATTCTTTCAATAATTTCTCATCATCAAACACATAATAGATAATAGAGGTATGTTTTTTCATTTTTTTTATTTTCTTTTTTTTCACTCTTTTATTGTTTTTTTATATTGTTTTTTTTTTATCATTTTCCCCTTATTTTTAAGTTAACATTTTTTTTCTCCATTTTTTCTTCTTTTTCATCAAATTTATTTTCATTGACTATTTTTTTTTTAATGTTTTACTATTTTTTTATTACCTATTTCTTTGTTTTGATATTAGTGGTGAATAAGTGATGATAAATATTTGAATTTTTATAATGCTTAAAATTTTACTATAAGTTTTAATTAAATGTTTTTATTTATTTATTGACATTTGAATATATGTTTTTGTTTAAGATTTATGGTTTTTATTTTTAATTATAAGCTTCATAAGTTTTGAATAATTTATTTTATTTTTTTAACTGTTATATGTTTTTATTATTAAATATATTAGTGAGCGCCAAGTTTTATTCCAATTTTTGGAATATCTACACCACCGCACCGTTATCCGAGTTTAACAACAACAGAGCTCGCAAATTGATTAAATCAAATAAATAATTGACTAAGCTGCCTTATAAAAAAAAAATATAGAATTGCAAATAATTTGGGTGAATGATACAATTTGTCTTAGTAGAAAAGTCTAATAGCATGTTTTATTTTCTTTCAAAAAGGTTCCACAAAAAACTACAAGAGAATGGTAGCCTTTTTTCTCCAATGTGTGTTCCAAAATAGAACCAAATATGCTATAAAAAAACTCAAATTTCTAAAAGAATAAAGGAATAAACAAATACTAAAACAAAACAAAAAATAAATAAAAATAAATAGTTAGTCTATCTTTTTTCACCATTAACCTATGAATGATGATCATAAGACTTATACTCAATTCAAGTGCCACCTTAGGTGACAAATTTTTGAGGAATTCTCTCCTCTTTTAGTAGTCAAAAATAGTTGATTGAATTCATTTAGATAAATTCAATCATTGATCTCTGACATATAGTAGGATATTTGATCCTAATTCCTTCCATATTGCCTCAATTTGCACCTTGAATTGAGCTTCTAGGGCTAGGTAACCCCATGTAAGCAAGCCTAGGAGAAACCCTAACTTTTGGGCTTGGCCTTGGAGAAGGTATTGGGCCATACTTATAAGGTCTTGCAGAAGCAGGCCTAGGAGACAAATTAACTTGCTCCAATGCCCTTGATTGAAGGTGCTCAGGATAGTCACGCACACAGCCAATACGAGCTCCAGCTCCTGTGGACCACTTGCATGATAATCTCTTGGAAGAGTCAAACATTGGCCCCTCAAATTTCTTGTCTTTAGCCTCTGTTGTTTTATTGATTTTGATTCCTTTGTTGGGGACAGTTTTGGTAGAAGCAGGCCTAGGAGACAAATTAACTTGCTCCAATGCCGTTGATTGAAGTTGCTCAGGATAGTCACGCACACAGCCAATACGAGCTCCAGTTCCTGTGGACCACTTGAATGATAATACTGATTGAGAAGTTTGAGTAGGACCCATAATTTGTTGTGCCTCATTAGTGCCAATAAATGAAGGAGCATCATTATCTATAGCATATCTCTGAAAAAATTGAAGAAAAAAAAGCAAAATTATTGGTAAATTTTCCCCTATGATTTTAATTATTTTTTGTTCATTAAGATGAAAATTTACCTTAACATTAGAGAGGTCTACATTGTGCTCCTCAAGAAAGTTAACAAATTCTCTGAAATTCTCTTCAGTTGGGTGATAATGACCACTGTAAGGCCAAATTGCCTGCAATGTTTATTTAACAAACAATACTGGTAAACAAAATTGACTATACAAATTACAAAACCGATTATCTATCTCAACCATAAGATGAAAATTAGACAATATATATGTTTCTATTTTTCAAACTAAATTTCATATAAATCAAAATATTAAAATTTCATTCGAATAAAATGCGAGTTTTGAGTTTTTACCTCGAGCACACCTTGTCGCGCCACTAATCTTCCGGCAGCTGTGGTTGCAGCCCCAGATAAAAAGCTAGAGTGTTGAAACGTACCCTTTTGTTTCCTTCCAACATACAAAGCCCTAGTGGTGCTAAGAACAAATATCCATTTAGACCTTTCATCTGTATCCACAAATTTCCCACCATGTCTATACACCAACTTGCCATTTTCAACCAATACTTCGTATTCTTCTCTCTCTTTCTGCAACCAAACATACACATTAGATTATACACAAACACGCAATATTAAAACTTCAAATTAAAGATGTGTCTGATGTTCGACAAGAATAATAACTTACTGGTCCAAGATATTTAATGGACTGACGTTGTAAAATAGCCCTTGGACATTTCTCAAGATTTATTTCTTTACCATCTCCAACATCCAACCTACAAAAATTAACCATCAAGATCATCATCAACTTCTATAGTTTTTACCATTATCATTATTATTATTAAGAATCATGAAATAAAACCATACATACCAATAGAAAAATGGTTGAGTGCTTAGGCTTGCAAACCAAATATCATAATATAAATGCAAATTGTGTCCATATCGATGACGTGGGTCAATCTGCAAATAAGAAAAAACAACTTTTTTAATTATTAATACTCTAAGATTGGATTAGATTATAAGCTAAAGTGTAGTTTAATTAAATTTTATATTATTACAGGATAATTAATAAATTAAATAACTTACAGCTTCAAGCCAATGTTGAAGTGCTAACTTTTGTGCCTTATCATCTTTAGACAAACCTTTTCCAACCTGTATAAAAGAAACAATAATTAACAAATCATAAAATACTTCAAATGATATAATAATATTAATTAAATTAAATTTCAAAAAAAATATACCTTAGCTGCTCTTGTTCTTGCTCTTCCCCATCTTGAAACTGCAGTTTCTTGTTTTTGTTCATCAAAAAATGAAACTGAACTTCTTTCAAGTGCAAAAGAATCCAATGCTTTCCACCTTAAAAAACATGTCATATAAAACATAAGTCTAAGAAAAACCCTAACCTTAAAAAAACCAAAATATCAAAAAAAAAAAAAAAAAAGAAGTTTTTCAATAAGACTAACCAAAGTTCTTCAACAATAACAGCACAATCAGCAAGATTTCTTCTAGTTCTATAACTCTTATAAACTTTCTGAAGCTTAGTAGCTGCAGCATCAAGCTCAGAAACTGGTCTTGGTGAAGAGAAAACAGCTTCTTTAGGCAAAGAAAGCAAAGGAACAGCTTTTTGGTGCAATTTTTCCTCATTTGATTCAAGGGTCACATGTTCTGGTCTATAATCCTCTAACCTAGTTGAAATGTTTCTTGTGGTAGCTTCTGGTTCTCTTTTGTTGAAGCTTCTTGTTCTCAAAATCATAGCACCATCTTCGGAACCAAAACTATAGTTGAATGATAAACAAGAGAGTGAATGTCGAACAATTTCTTCCCAAGCTGATGTTAAAATGGAAAGTGATAATCCCATAGAGATGAAGATTCACACCAACTAATGAAAAAGTGTATGAATTATGAATTGAAATGAAGTTATGACTCTAACAATAAGAGATTAATATCAAAAGAGAATGAATAAGATGTGTGTATTTCAATTGTTTTATATATATAAAGATTGGTATTCAAATACGTGTCAAAGTGGAAGAAAGAAAGAGAGAAAGTAAAATGCTAGTGGTTGAATTCAACAAGGAATTTTCGCAACACTTTCGAATGAGGAAATAAAAGGTGTGTTACTATAAAGTTCCAATTTTACTTGTGCGAACACTTAAAAAAAAAAAAAGAAAAAAAAAAAAGGTCTAATCCACGTGTTTGTTAGAGTTGTTCAAACCCTTTTTTGGTTTGTAATAAGGAGGATATGCATATTCTCTTGTTAAGGATATGACTAAAAATATAAAGTATAGTCAACAATTGTTTTCTTCTTAGTATGGGTCCATAAATTGATACAGTTATAGAACAATAGGGGAAAAAAACAAGGTGAGTCTACTAGTCAAAGAAAGTAAGCTTCTTAGATATTCAATGAAATGAAAAATATTATTTATCAATTTTGTTCATTTTTATCAAATTTTACAACACAATTTTATAGATTTTATGTTTTTTTTTAAGGTGAGAAAAACACTTAGAAGGGGGGTTGAATAAGGGTTTTGAAATAATTATGGCAATAAAAACAACACAGTATTTTTATCCCGTCCACTCTACCAAGGTGATTTGTCTTTCTCAACAAGGACTTAATCCACTATATTCAAACAGATTACAGTGTCAACCACTAAGAATAACTGTCTTAGTCTTCTCAAGAAATTCTGACCACAACTTGGTCTTCTTAAGGAACCTTTTACAAATAAATGTAAAATAACAAGTGTTTAAGATGCTTGTAAAAAGCTATATCGCAAACTGTGATTTTTACACTTAGTTTAAGAATGAATAAAAACTATTCTGCTTATAAAATAAATTGTATAAGAGCTTGAGAGTAGTTTTCAATTTGATTTCAATAATACGTCAATTCGTCAACTTTGAAATGTTGTTGAAGACATCCTTTTATAGAGCAGAAAGTCCAATGCTTGAAGATTGTGCGTAGCAGAATAGCTGTAGCCTTTTTGTCTTCTATTGACTTTAGCTTTCCCAAAAGAGGAATGTTCAGACAAATCCCTTTTGTCTGTTTTCCTGTGTCATACATGAATAAGGAAAGAGTCGTTTGGAATATGCCAACGGATATATCTTTGAATAATATCTTCTTCAACAAGCTTCTGTCTCAAAGTTATTAACATCAGAGTCTTGAAGTGATCAGAGTTTGAAGGTATCAGAGTCTTGATGTTATCAGAGTTTTGCAGCCAATGTGCTTCAGCGTAAATATCAATCAGAGCAGAGTTTGAATATCAGAGCCTCTGTACTTGCAGCGAACAGTACTTTCAGAGTCTTCTGAAACAATGCTTGAAACTCTTCATACAAATTCTTCAACTACGCTTCAGAGTCTTCTGCAGCTTCTGCTTCAGAGTCTCTTCTGGCAGCGCTCAGAGTCTTCTGATGACTTGCTTCTAATGCTTCAGAGCTTTGCGTAGAGTAATGTTCAGATGTATTTTTGTTTCCATAAGTATATTTAATTTAATATTTGAAACAAAAACACTTGAACAAAATTAGAGTATATATTTTCTTAATACAAAATTTCATTAAAGTTATCATTAAAATATAGAGATAATATTAAACACCAATCTGTGTTCTAACAATCTCCCTCTTTTTGATGATGACAAAAACATAGGAAATTTTGTTCAATAAAAGGATAAATATATAATTCCCCCTGAGATAAAGAATCTCCCTCCTGAAATGAATACTCTAAAAGAAGAAAATACTTCCCCTTTTTGCATGAGTATACTTTTCAGATTAAGAGCCTGGTTAGAATCATGGTTAGAGTATACTTTCCAGAATCAGAGCTTGATTTACTTTCCAGAATCAAAGCCTGGTTTACTTTTTCAGAATCAGAGCCTGGTAATCAGAGCCTGGTTTGAATTAAGATCTGGTTTAGGGATTCTCAGGGTAACTTCAATGAATTTTGTCAGATGATACGTTATAGTTCTGAAAGACTAAAATTCAATGTTAGATATAATTTATTATGTATGAATTCCATTTTAGTAACTGTTTACTTTTGAACAATCAGAATTTATTTTTCTCCCCCTTTTTGTCATAATCAAAAAGAAAAACTTTTTAAGACAGAAAAGAAGAACAAAGAAAAATAACAGAAAAACAGATAAGGAAACAGCCAACTTCATTGATAAACAGATATTCAAAAAACATTCAGATAAACAACAAAAACAACAAAAACAGCAACAAATGCACAAACACAACAGAAAAAGCAACTAAGATTGGCAAGCGGCTATAATCTTCAGAAGGTCTGTGATCTGAGAAGTAGATTCCTCTTGTCTAGACATCCAAGTCTTAATCTCATATGTGGTTTGTTCTTGCTTGACCATCCATGTTCTGATCTCTTTGTTGCTGGCTTCTAATAGAGAAAACTTTCCCTCTAAATCTGGATTCTCTTTCTTGATTTCAAAATATGTAGGATCAGATGCAGATGCAGGAGCTGGAGCACTATCAATGACCATAGCAGATGCAGATGCATTATCTTGAATCACAGAAGTAGATGCTTGTTCCAGAATCATCAGAGCTGACTGATTAGGCACAAGAGTTTCTTCAGCAACAGCCGATTTTGGAGGAGTATCTTTAGACATAGGTTCTTCAGCAGGTGCATTGTCTAGAGGAAGAACTTGAGGTCTAATCATGTTCAGAAGAGTCTGTATGATAACTTCAGCAAATTTCACCTTTGCATCATCAGAGCAAATGGTGCGAAGATTTGAAGCTACATAGGTGAACCTTGAGATGAATCTGTTCCAAGAGGCTTCAGAAGCATCTGGATTCACACTAGACAGACATTCCTTCTTTACAGAAGATATCCACATGTTCATTTCCTTCTTGAAGCCATCAAATAGCGTACTAACATCCATTCTAGGTTTTGGTTTTAGGAAGTTTTCTAGAGATGGTGTTTTGGTGGTTTCAGAGGAGGATGGTATGGAAAAGGTTGGGATAATGAACAAAGGGCGAGAGAAAGATGGAAAATATGTTTGGCCAGATGATTCAGGGATATCCTGACGTTTTGGATAAAAGTGTTTAAGTTTGAGTCCAGAGGGAAGGTCATCAGATGGTAAAGGTTTTAATGAAGCAAAAGAAATAAAATTAGATGATCTTAGTTCATAGCCACAAAGTGAGGGGGTGAGTTTATTTCTGGGGGTAAATCAGATTCAAAAGATTCAGATGAATCAGAAGAATGACAAGATGTGGAAGAGATATCAAACAGAGTTGTCAAAGGTTGTACATCAAGGACATCAGAATCAGATATAAATGATTCAGAAGTTTGATGTTGTTCTGGTTGATGAACAGAGGAAATGGGTTGTTCTGCTTGTGGTTCAGTAGTTTATGGTTTTGGTGGGGGAATTTCAGAAGTTTGTTGTGGTGCAGAGGTTTGTTTGTCAGATGGGGGAATAACAGATGGTTATTTTACAGATGAAGTTGGTTGTTGTTGGGGTACAGGAGGAGTTGTTTCAGAGGTTTTCTTTGGTTTAGGTATAGAAGGAGATGGTTGAGATTATGTTGGTTCAGATGGAATTGGTTCATGAGGAGGAGAAGGTGAAGGTATGGGTTTATGGATAGAGGGATTAGATGTTAGTACCTCTTTGACAGTTTGCAAGATTGAATCTAAACTTGCTTCAGGAGGGTTAGCTTTTTGCTTCTTGACCCTCTTAGGTTTAACAGAAGCAGCTTCACCAGAAGCCTTCCTCTTGAGTTTTGAAGAGCCTTCTTCAGAAACTTTCCTCTTCTTCTTGTGTATATCTCCATAAAAATATGGTGCAGGTTCGCCTGCTTTCTGAATCAGATTTGCTGGTAGAGGAGTTCCATCTTTCAGACACGTTGCTATATACTTCAGAATAATTTCCCTTGGTTCATCAGCGTAGAACATAGGAAAATCATCCACTGGTATCCTTCTTTTACTGACCTCTTTAGAGTTTATCTGTTTTGGTGCAGAAGTGATTTCTTCTACAACCTTCATCCTCTGAAGACTTTTTCCATTTAAAGGTTTGCCTACCACAAAAGCTAATTCTTCCTGCAATCCAGCTTCTATCAGATGTCCAACCAGACTATTCTCAGTCAGAATGTCTGAAATGAGTCTTCCCATTGGAATCCAATTCCTCATCTTCTGATGTTTAGTTCTGACCTCTTCCCTTGACTGTTTTACGTGAGTCCATAGATGATTGAAAAGTAGATAAGGCAGATCCACTTTTGTGCTCTGACTCAGACAGTACATGAAGTACATCTGATCAGTACTTACATAATCAGGAGAGTTTGAAGACTTCTTGTGATGTATGCACCCCATAAAGATCTTACCCCAGATCCTGTAGTTTGGCTTCAGATCTTTCACTTTGTTAGAAGCTTCTCCAGATGAGCAAACTTCACTATAGACCTCTGTCATGTCAACACGCCCATCTGGCATATTTGTAACACCATCAGTTTCTTCATAACCTATGAGCTTCCTGATCAGATCCTCATTTATGATGATTTCCTTACCCCAGAACATATGAAACAACGAACTTAGGGCATGTAGTAGCATGAATCCAAAATTCTTTCACCAGACATGGATAAACTGGTCCCATCAGCCTATCAAAGAACTTTGTCCAGCATTGAGCATCAACAATGGGACGAAAATCAAACCCATTTTCAGCAATTGATTCAAAGTTCACAATAGATTCACACAAAACTTCAAGTTTATAAACTGGTGTGAGTAGGGTTCTAACTGGTTCCTTGAAAGCAACAACACCCATGTTGGAAGATGAAACAGCAGCCATAGTTGATTTAAACTGAGCAGAAGTTGATGAAGAAGTAGTCATTGTTGTTCTTGAGAGTGATTTAGGGTTACGAACGGTTTTGGGTTTGGGA